AGAGGGATGGCGCAGGACCGCTCCCAGACGCCTATGGGGAATCGCCACGAGGGGTGCGGAAGGGGAGGAGAGAAGGACATGAGTGAAGGGCAGTCGGTCGGGCGGACGGGCAGGCGGGGAGGCAGGAGAGCCGGTGACAGTCGCTTAAATATGAGGAGGAGCGCTCTCCTATTGGGCGCTTACGCAACACTAACGGTCAGGTGGCACTCTCCCCAATCAGGACGAAGCTGTACGGCGCCAACCGGTCTCACCGCCAGCCCGGCACCGGGGCCCGGCGGGTCGGCAGGCCCTGACTGAATGAATGGGCGCAGGTAGGCCAGCCTAGGCCCGGAGCGTCGTAGTAGAGACGGCAATTTGTAGTTGTGCCACCACGACCTCTCCTAATCCGACTGGGACCCAGACCACGGGACCGGAGCTCGGGGCCAAACCGACACGCGAAAACGTGCCGCTTTGCCAGCAGTAGCCGCACCAACATACGGGCACGCAAACAGATTGTCGTGCATGCACATACAGGCCCGGTGTCACAGGCGAAATGCCACCTTGACACCGAGAAAGGGAAGCAGGAAGATCCTCATTTGTTGACTCAGAAGTGACCAATAGCATGTCTGTGCGTCTGTATGTGAGTCTGTCAGACCCTTTCAAGCAATACACTAACAGACAACTAGATAACACGCGTGTATACACGAAAAGACACAAATAGACACAAATAGAGTTTGTCGTCGTAGCCATAATAACCTTGCGTGCAGTTTGTCGGTGTGCACGTATACGACCACGTATACGCAGTCCCGTTTGCACGTTAGTGTATCAATGTCCTGACAAGCCTAGTGGTACACAAATTATGAGGCTGCATCAGGAGTCAAGGCCGTAAATTGGCGAAAAAACGGAGCCAATAATGTGCCTCTGGTTCCCCTCATCGTTCCGTTCCGTCTCATTCTCTCTCCCCTAATTTAGTGCGTTGTCGTGCCTCCATTGAGGTGTCTCGGGCGCTCAAGCCACACATCAAAACTGGCAGGCCCATTTTTTTCGCCTATCAACCTGCCGCCTATCATTCAAACTCGATGATTTGACTGGTGCAAGTGGAACCAATCTCGATCTCAAGGGAATAGGTCACTTTTATGCGCAAATGAGGCAAATTTCGTCATACTACTTATATTGTCAACCGGTTAATTGGAATTTTTATAAATCTTCTGTTAGTGAGAACAGAGACATGGAGCCACGGCGTCTATCGGCCTCAATAAGTTTTACGGTATGATAAAGGTGAATTTCTCTTGGCCTGTCTCATACAGATTGGGTGGAGCCGCAGTTTCGACCTTTTACCCCTACAGTCATTAAAGTGTTACTGGTAGCCTCGAGGTCTACTTACATTGAGCATAAGTAGTGTCGTAGATTGCGAATGCAGACTTGACTATGCAAAAATAATTTGGCGACTGCCTTGTTAATTATTAGCACCAATTGGTCATACAGCATATGTATGTATTCTCGAGACCCGTTAGGGTGCTGTGAAACCTAGACGGGATCGACCCCCAAATCTAATCTGAATTATGAAAACATGTTTATAGTTTTTATTCCAGTTTTAGAAAAAAATTACTCACAGCCGTAATTCGATATCTACTGATAATGTCAAAATATACTACTTATTAATGTAAATGATTATTTACACAAAGGAAATCTGCGATGCATACTTTGTATTACAGAATTACTAAGCTGTTATTTGGCCTGGCCTCGTTTTAAATAAATTAAGTTAGTAAAAAGGAATACAAACAAATAATCTCAGAGGTTA